TATATACATATATTATTGATTGTGAATGATGATGCAGTTTCGATTGGTTTTATGAGTAAGGAGATCCAAAAGAAAGGAGAAACAGTTCATCGAGGCTTGAATCGGCGTATTCGAACAGAACGAAAGAAAAAAATATATAAATTTACATTCGTCCATAAAAGAGAGAGCTTTTATGCGAGAGGGGCTTGCAATCGGGCAACCCCTGCCGTGCCCTTGCCACCGCTTGTCGCTCACTCCACTTTAAGGATCGATTGCAAATTCCCATACTGTTGTTAAAATGCCCATCAATCTCTGGTACAAATAATTTCATCGCCGCCCTCATCTCCAATCCGAACAAAATTTACAGCGTTTAATGATTATAACGAACGGAATGAACGTCTCGGCGACGAAAACTGATGACAAAGTTTGATGAAAATTGCACTGGGTTCGAAATCTGATTTATATCGATAATTTCGCCAGGGGATTAACGCATCTCATCAAGCAAACACGATAATAAAAAAGTTGACATAATTCGAACCTCCACTCCTAATGAGATTAATGTTTTAATCCGATCTTGGAAATTTAATTTAATTCACAAAAAAGGGTGTAGGAATTTGGATTTTTATGAATAGTACCACCATATATTTACTTGTCCGTATCATTTTTAGTCTAAATTATTGTTTTAATGCCAAAAATAGGGCATTTATAAAGATGTACAAACGTTATGAATAATTTGATTAAAAGATTATTGAAAATTTTGGTGGATGCGCCGGGGCAATTTCAAACAAAGGCTATAATTGAGCCATAATTCCGGTTTAATTGAAGTGGATTGTTGAATTTTCATTTCTACATTATATGTTTTCCATTTAGACACTGTTAGGGATGCTAATGTTTATATTTTTCATTTTAAATTACTCTACAATTTATAATATAAAATATAGATAACCCAACATACAGCAAATATTACAACTCTTAGTAATGTAGTAGTAAATAAAGTTGGAAAATGTTTTTTCTTACGAAAATAACCACTCAGTAATAGATTACAATTAACCACAGAATATTACGTACAAATAATAAATTATTTAGGATTTATTAAGAACATGTTCTTATAAAATTTGGTTAACATGAGGTATTTTTCGCTGGTCTAGATTCTTAAATCTTGCTTCTCCTAGTTTTCTTTTAAAATAAGTTCTGTAATATTGTTAAAAGAATGTTTAGTTTCACCATCTGAGGAATAAACGTCACGGTTAACTTCTAATCACAAGGTATTGCTCTAATTTCTGTGCCGTGTGCTCCTAATTGAAGGTAGTTATCAACTTTAATTACACAGCACAAATTCCCGATCGGGTCAATTAGGAAATTGTGTATAAAGCACATGGCCGAAGCTAATGAAAATAATCCCAATAATTGAAGTAAGGAAACTGTTGATGACGATGCGCAAGAAAATTACTTCAACGTACGTTATTTTCTCTTCATCGTGTAAATTAAGGATCTTGTATTCTAAACAATTTTCAAATATTAAAATTTGATACTAGTGCATGGAGTCGCCAATACATATATGTAATAAATAATTTTACTCACTATCACTTATTTTGCAACTGATTTACAAAAGTGCGTACTTTCAGTGAAGCATACGCACATAATAACGTGGATGGTGCTCGGGAAAATTTGGGAACCTCTGGGCTACAAACCATTACGAAAATTTTAATATTTTCTCTTTTTATTTAAGCTCGTGCCAAGTGCGAAGGAGAGATAGAAATCCAGCCCAATGGTGAAATTACGAAATCTGTCGGGTCGCAGTTGGCATTAACATGTAAGCTTAATGTCGACAAACCCGATCAAATAACACAGTTGGAATGGAGGGACCCATTGGGTCGAAGAATTGATAACACCAACACTGATACCAATTTATACATACAGGTAGGATTAGTTAATTAGGATCCTTGTCACATGCGAGCATTGAAATTCCTGAAGGTTAATATTAAATATTAATTTGAAACTTCATTCTCATTTTATTTTTTACTATTTATTACTTACCTGAAATTATTAAGAAAAAAATTTTGTTGTTGCTGTCACGCCCTCGTCGGGAATCGAACCCGTAAAGCCAAAGGTCCCGGGTTATTATTGTGGAAAAAAAATTGAGAAAGAATTTTCAAATTAATATTAAAAGCAATGAAAAATCCTACTAAAGATGAGATAGAATTTTATAGTTATTTGTCTCATTAATTTGCCAAAGCATTTTCTAATTTTGACGTACTGATAAATGGAATCTCTGGTGGGGAAGTCTGCAGGTGTATTTGTTTGGTTGTTTTAGAATACACCTGATAGCGGAAGCGCACTACTCGTATTTTCCCAAATAACGAAAGACATGGCAGGTACTTACACTTGTACAGCTAAATATTCGAATACAGAAGAACTTAAGGCCTCGAAAGAAATAAAAATTATAGGTAAATTGTCTGTCCTTTTCTTTTTATTATCATATCGTAAGTTGCAACGGGAATTTTAGAGGAAATAAAGTGGAAAGACGCACCTGAAGAACAATATCCGAAATTGGGCGAAACTTTTAGAGTACGTTGCGAGGCAGAGGCAAATCCTTCTGCCTCAATCAATTGGGAAAGAAATGGCGTCTCATTAACCACCAAAGACAGATACATCGTAAAGGCTAACGGTCTTATCATTAAGGATGTCAGAGAATCTGATGACGGATTGTACAAATGCACAGCGGTTGTGATCTCTACAGGAGAAATACAAATTCGAAATATAAGGGTAATATACGATTTGTAATGATGGGGATATTTTTCTTCGGGCAATCAATGGCTCTTTAGAATGCCACATATATTATACAAAAATATGTATAATTTTGACATTTAACAAAAAAATTCAATTTTTGATTTGAAATTCGTCCATCACGTAAACCATTTCTTAATTTTTGGATAAGCTGACGTGAGGGTGGTTTTTACATAATTTCATTATATTAGGCATAGTTTAATTTGGTATTAGCTTCTGAAATTCTCTTGGTGTAAAAATTTTCTTCTAAATACGACAGCATTTTAAGTTAGTTCTAACAAGCATGTGGGATGGGGGTAAATAGTCGTTCAGTTTAATTTTACTGATTTTAGATTATATAGTCCAAATTATATATAATATTTATATATAAATTATTGTTTAGTACTGGAACCATAAATTTGCTAACCCGCATACCTATTACAACGAACAGAAAGATACCCTTATCGGCTGCAGGTATCGGACACTGCTTGCTGGTTGCATGTTTCTCTCTATTTAAACAGTTGGTAGATTTTGTCTCACTTTTATGACTATACATTTGTTGTTCTATGAATCTTAAATAAATTATAGGTATTAAAAGAGAGAGAGAGACACACTCTGCAAACTGTTTAAATAGAGAGAAGAATGCACAAATACCAGCAGTATTCGTTACCTGCAACTAGCCGAGAAAGATAAGGGTATCTTTCTCTTCCGTGTGGTAGGTATACCGGTTAGTAGATTTACTGTTCCAGTAATAAATAAAAAGTAAAAATTAACAATTCAAACTGAAGCCGCGACTATTTGTTTTGCGTTATAAAGTGAAAAATTTGATGGTAGGTTGAAGTCCAGATTCCTCCAAAAATAGAGCCCATGAACAATTTGGAAATCGTTGAGGGCGAACGTGCTCAAATAATGTGTAAAGCGAGTGGTAAACCACCTCCAAAATACACTTGGATAAAAGAGAGTAGCCGAGAGGATCTATCGAAAACAGATAGATTTTCGGTCAAGCCAAACGAAGGCTTGTTATCGATAACCCGCGTCGAATTGATCGATAATTCAAACTACACTTGCGTGGCAGAAAGCAGAGCTGGTAGAGACGAGGCGTACGTTCAACTAAAAGTCCTGAGTCCACCCCGAATATACGAATTTCTTAACGCCACTGTACCAATTAAGAAAGAAGCGCAATTAATCTGTAAAGCGAGCGGTCGCCCGGCTCCTGCTGTAACATTTAGAAAACTGAGCAACCGACAACCATTCCAACTGGGCATTCAAAAAGAGGATAACAGAATCATCGTCGAACAAAGATTTGACCCTGCTAAAGGCGAAAGTTATGGTATACTGACTATAACGAACGTACAGAGAAGTGACGACGGATTATACGAATGCATAGCAAAAAACAGTATTAGAGATGCTTACAAAAACGGTCATATAACCGTGCAATTTGCACCAACATTCGAAAAAACGCGAAATTTAACTTCTGTTTGGACATGGGGTGAGAGACTAGCAAATCTGTCTTGTATTCCGGAAGCAATTCCGAACGCCACAATTGAGTGGAGGCGGCAGGGAGTGACCTTAGAAGGCAACAGTACCAACATGTGGGTCATTGGAAACGGTCCCAAATCGTTTTTGATAGTCAAAGTCGGCAACCAACAACGGTTTTTGGGACACTACGAATGTCGAGCTAGGAATGAAATTGGAAATGACAGCATTATAATCGAACTGAAACAAGCGACCGTTCCCAAACCTGTGCAACAAGTCAAAATTGCATACATCACAGCAACCACGATCACATTTGATATAGTCGGTCCGCCCAATTTCCACGATCTACCATTACGGAAATACGTGGTACAATATCAAACGGAACGGATAGGGCATTGGAACAATGCCCAAAATTACACATGGACTGTAGGTAAGTCTGAAACGCTTTTCCGTGTTTTGATGGACTCCACTGGGGTTGAGTCGTAACACCAATAACCGTTAACCCCAACCAAATTATCACTGATGATGATGTTGTCAGCAACTTATGTTGAAAAGTTGGCAAAGAATAGCAAAAGTCAGCTACAAAAAGACGTTTTTGTAGGTGCACCATCTTATACATTGGAGAATTTAATTCCGGAAGTGACTTACAACTTTAGATTTGCGGTTATAAATGACGTGGGAATGGGTGGGTGGGGTGGTAACCAGCAGATCACCATGCCCAGGAGGTCTGCTCCGGCAGAACCCAAAATACTCATTCCTAATTATCATCCGGATGATTTGGTACAAAACAGGGATATCATTATTAGTTCCTATGCGGACCATTTCGATTTGAGATGGAATGTTCCCAATGATAATGGCGCACCCATTGATATGTACATTATCAGATATTGTGTGGTAAGTTCGTCAAGAATTATAGGGTTGTTCGGAAAGTCATTTCGTTTTTTTTGTGGAAATGAAAGACAGTTTTCGTATAATAAACAAATACTTTATTAAATTATATATTGACCGTTCTGGTCCAACACCTTTTGCCATCTTTCCGGTACTAGCATAATTTCACGCTCATAAAATTTTTGGTCTTTGCTGGCAAAAAACTGATCGAGGAGGTTTTTGACCTCCTCATTTGAGGTGAAGGTTTTACCGTCTAAAAAATTTTGGAGTGACCAGAACAAATAATAATCCGATGGTGCCAGGTCTGGAGAATGTGGTGGGTGTAGCATTGTATCCCATTCAACCTGTAAAAGCTTTTGGCGAGTGACCAAACTTGTGTGAGGTCTCGCGTTGTCTTGGTGAAATTTGGAATTTTTCACACACAAGCCTTGCTGTATGAGCTCTCAAAGCATATAAAAATTATACGGCTTAAATGTGACGTTGGATGCAAAAGAATACAATTAAATCCTCTGTCGGGAAAAAACGAAATGACTTTTCGAACAACCCAATAGATTGGTTACAGTAGGAGCGAGACTTTTGTGCGAAATATTTTTTTAAACCAAATTTGTTCCGGTTTAGCCACACATGTGTATTGTTTCTTAAATTTGTAAATAATAATAATCTAGAAAACTTCAAAGTCTATCCGAATACCCATATTTAACTTAACAGGGGTAACAATTGTTTAGGGGTCGAAGAAAGAGTTGAAATGGTATTTTCAAAAAATGCATAAAGGTGGTTCATTTACTTGTTCTTCCACAACAGTTCCCGGTTCATCTTGCACATAAAAAGTTTCGCTCGACTGAATTTTATTCTTTCCCAAGCAAGCAGGTAACAAACGATTTTTTTTTGTTGGTTAGATTGAGAAAATTAATGGTGAATGGAAAGATAATTTAGACAAATGTAGTCCGGAAATAAGCCATAGTTTTCAATATACGAATTACGAATTGAAAAATTTAGAGCCGGACACAGTGTACAAAATTGAATTGAAAGCCCATAACTCGATTGGCTCTAGTTCTCCAGCGCAAATAAGGATCAGAACCCCTAGAGGTGAGGGTCCTGGATATAGAGATGTTTATTTAACAGATAATATTAGCAGTAGTGCAGTGAAGTACTGGCCGAACTTTACTTTCAGTTTCGCTGTTTGCACATGGACTTTGATTTGTTGTTTTTATCATTTGTGATTTTAGTTTAGTTTTCCTTTTTATAAGTTATTTCGCTTATTAATTATTAATTAAGCATGACTTTATTTTTGTATTTTTTTATTACACTGTCACGTTTTTATATGGATTTTTTGTTTTGTGTTTGTTTTGCTGTCTTTTACTGTGCCATCTAAATGGAAGCAATTTTTTTATAGGCCTACATGAATATTTAGGAAGTGACACATTCTGCTTCGATGAAGTATTACTGTGTGACTTCAAAGAAATACTATTTTTTTTTGTTTTTATTTATTTACTTATTGTCGCATAATAAATTTACGTTAGCTGATGCCTTGTTATTAGCTATTGAAAATTTAATGATGATGGTGTTGTTTTAAAAAAACTTGTTCGTTCATCTTTAGATGGATTTTATGGAAGGGCTACAACGTGTTCAACACTATTTAGGCTACTAGAAACTGCCCTAGTGTTTTTATTGATAGTACGATAAGTAACAGGACCACTTTGGCATAGACGTGTTCAATCAAATAATGTTAGAGTGCTGATGAAAAATGTAACTGAGGACTTAAAAATAATTCGAAGGAAATAGAAAAAGTTTCTAAATGTGTTGTAAATATTCCAATTTGTTATAGCATTTTATCAGAGCATCTATCTTTGACATCAGATTATTTTCTTTTTCTTTTATTTTATTATTGATAATAATTATTGTTCCACATTCCATTTGCTTGATGGCATGCCACGAATAACACATTAATATCCGTTTTTATTGGTTAGTTTTGTCACCATACATCCTGTATATATATGCAAGAGTTCATATACGGGGTGGATTCTAACAGGTTTTCATTGCGATTCAAATGCTCCAATTTCACTTATACGATGAAAATCTGTCGAAAACGCACTGCATTTTATTAACCATAATGTACGCATGAGAAATTATTTTAAATGTTGTTGCTGCTTTTGGTTTCAATCAGTTTAATAAAAAAAAAACAAAGTACGAATTAAGAACATGTCTTGCGAAGAACAAAACTTTTTTAGGCGCTTTAGTTTTTCACAGATATATTTTTCATTAAATGACATTGCTTTTCAAGTGTTTCCTTGTTACAAGGTCATGGGGTAAGTATGGATAATCTCGCTCCACAGTTATTAATCTCATTTCTAATACTTTATCCATTTCTTCTATGAGTAAAAACAAGATACACATTTAATTGTTATAATTAACTTTGTATCGGCGTCTTTGGTATGCAAAGTATTGTGTTTGGGACTTTTTGGACTCCATCCTTAACTTACTTCCCAAGGTTTCGCCCGAGGTCGAAGTCACTACTCTTGAAAATGACACCGCAGTAGCAGACGAAACGTTGGGATGTAATTTCTAAGGATAACGGTCAAAAGAACCGAAACGGAAAACTAATTAATTTAATATTCGTCAATAAACTGAAATATTGTTTCAATTTTAGCCACTTTTAAAACAGAATTTTCATTAGAAATTGCTAAAAATGTCTTATAATTTATCCTTGCTTACCCGACTATGGCCTTCATCTGTATTTTGCATGGTTCTTTAAGCCTAGATAATTTGTTTTTTCGACTTCTGTTTTTCTAAATAATACTAAAAAGACTACTAAATCTCTGAACATATCTCTAATTAATAAACAAATAAAATTTGTACTGATGCGATTGTTACGGCTTGATAGTCTAATTCTAATTAAATTAACCGCTGATTAAATTGATTAGTGTGTTCGAAATATATAAACAATATGTTCTTGTTAGGTACTGCATGTTTTTGGTGTGAACGAAAAGAAAAAACGAAGTGATATGTGTATTATTGTGTACTAATGTTTACCAAATCGTTTTTTTTTTTTAATTTTTTGTTTGTTTATTTTTAAATGAAATAAGAAATTTTTACTTTTCTTATAACTGACAATAAGATGCATTTGTAATACGTTTTTCTTAAGCCAGATGAGTTGTTGTAATAATAAAACGAATAAAAATGAGAAATGTAATAAAAGTTTGTTGTTGTCGAGAAGTGAAAGATAAAAAAGGTGATGATAATAAAACTCATGTTGGTTTCGAGATTTTTACTGGCTTTTTAGGTTTTGAAACTGTTCTTGTGTGCGATCATCGACAACATCAACCCCCCCGGCTTTTGTCAAGTGCTAAATGCTTTTAAATGTCAAATCGACTTAAAAAAAATACCCTTTCAGAGGATCTTGTCAACAAGTCGAAGTGTACGTAGCAATTTTTATACGAATTCTAAGGGTTGAATAACATAAAAATCTAATATATTTTTCATATAATTTAGAACGTTTCAATTGATGAATTTTTGTGTTTTTGGCCCTTAGAATTTAAATGTAGTACGACCCTGTCTTATTAATTTGCTTAGCTTTCTGATTTAAATGGGTGTAGAGACACAAATCACTTATTTCACCATAAAGATACCACAAATATTTTACTTAAAAGGTCAATTAATACCTTTTGACATTTGTAAAACTAAACGAATATGTAATATGAATAAATCAAATAATAAAATCCGAAAAAAAAAAGAATAAAAGAATGTACCAGGGGTAACACTATACGCAAATGACTGTTATAGGTAAAAAATTGTATAAATTTTGTGTAATTTTTAATATGAATTTCGCTTATAATACTTATATATTCCTAATCAGTATCAATATTTTTTAATATATTGACTAACTAATGGTTAAATTACTAATTAATAACATCGCTAAAATATTTGTGGAAATTCAAAACAATAAAAACGGATTATTATTATTATATTAATTATTGATTTTCCTCTTTTACGATTAGTTGGATTATTTCTAAAACACTCATTTCTATTTTAGAAACTTATTTGCTTATTTTGAATTGTTAATTTCGAATCCAGCATGATCTGTCCCTTTTAGAGTAGACAAAAACCTACAGACGATATTAACGCAATCAAAATTCAAAAAAATACCTATACATTCAACACATATATCTACTTAAACGTCATAATAACTTTACCAACATACACCACCATATTCTTCATTAAAATTAGCAACAAAAATTGTTTCTGTTTAAGAAACGGACCGTTTACAGACTTGATGTGGTAAACTCCTGAAAAAGTCATAAAATAATTTATTATTAATTCTAGTGGAAAAAAAATTGAGAAAGAATTTTCAAATTAATATTAAAAGCAATGAAAAATCCTACTAAAGATGAGATAGAATTTTATAGTTATTTGTCTCATTAATTTGCCAAAGCATTTTCTAATTTTGACGTACTGATAAATGGAATCTCTGGTGGGGAAGTCTGCAGGTGTATTTGTTTGGTTGTTTTAGAATACACCTGATAGCGGAAGCGCACTACTCGTATTTTCCCAAATAACGAAAGACATGGCAGGTACTTACACTTGTACAGCTAAATATTCGAATACAGAAGAACTTAAGGCCTCGAAAGAAATAAAAATTATAGGTAAATTGTCTGTCCTTTTCTTTTTATTATCATATCGTAAGTTGCAACGGGAATTTTAGAGGAAATAAAGTGGAAAGACGCACCTGAAGAACAATATCCGAAATTGGGCGAAACTTTTAGAGTACGTTGCGAGGCAGAGGCAAATCCTTCTGCCTCAATCAATTGGGAAAGAAATGGCGTCTCATTAACCACCAAAGACAGATACATCGTAAAGGCTAACGGTCTTATCATTAAGGATGTCAGAGAATCTGATGACGGATTGTACAAATGCACAGCGGTTGTGATCTCTACAGGAGAAATACAAATTCGAAATATAAGGGTAATATACGATTTGTAATGATGGGGATATTTTTCTTCGGGCAATCAATGGCTCTTTAGAATGCCACATATATTATACAAAAATATGTATAATTTTGACATTTAACAAAAAAATTCAATTTTTGATTTGAAATTCGTCCATCACGTAAACCATTTCTTAATTTTTGGATAAGCTGACGTGAGGGTGGTTTTTACATAATTTCATTATATTAGGCATAGTTTAATTTGGTATTAGCTTCTGAAATTCTCTTGGTGTAAAAATTTTCTTCTAAATACGACAGCATTTTAAGTTAGTTCTAACAGAATTTATCGTTAACTTATCAGGACATGGTAGCAAAGATATTTTGTTTAGTTCGAAAGTTAATTTCTGATCTGACGTGTTTATTGCAGTCGTTACAAACTCCTTATCTTTATCTAATTTAACAATACAAGAAGGTAGTTTAATATTTTCTTCGGTGAAGCCTTCGAACAAATAGTCTTTATTTGTCTGATAATTTGGTGCCTTTAGTTTTATTATTTGTTCTGTACGTTCATTAAGTGTAATAATGTTAAGTATTCTGTTTTCGGAAAAGAATAATTGATAAGATTTGTGTGGCGTGACTAATTGATTGGTGGAATAATCGATTTTTGCATTATTTTTGATAAAGAAGTCTGATCCGATGATTCCATCTATTTCTAAATTAGTTTTTGAAACATAATGAAATTTAATGTTAACATTATCGTGCTCTAAACAAGTTTTTACAGTACCGAGTGTTTCAAAAGGTGTGGAATTTAAACCANTTTTAATTTATTTATTAAAATTTGTAATTAACCAGTACAAAACACGTTCAAAGTCTGTCACGCGATATTACCGGGTTCGATTTCCGTCGCTGGATTCCTGAAACGTTTAATTTTATTTAATTATTGTTCGTTCTTTCGAATTTTAATAACAAAAATTACAGTTTTTACTAGTTTACCATCAGTCAGTAAATGCGTTTGTTTTAGAATGAAGAAGCATTATTAACTTGTCAAAACTTACTAATACAAAAATTGTTTTCGAATTCGTTGTTATATTTAATACACACAAGTCTTTTACGTATAGGGATGAATCAGCCGATTTATCAAGAACCACCCATTAGCAGTGCGATGATAGTTGCAGTAGTCGTAGCAGCAATACTTATCATCATACTAATCATTGATATCGCCTGCTGTTATATCAGCAGGTCGGGCATTTTGGCTTATATATTGGAGAAGATCAAATCCAAGCCTACCGACGAAGAAGACCCGAAATTGGGAAGGTAAGAAAATAATAGTTTTTAATCTTTATCTTCTCCAATTTATCGTCACATCTTTTGTATCCGCTTTTGTTTTTATACACTACATAGTTGTTCGTTACTTTCTTTGTAAAACAATTGTAAAGTTCGTGCATTTGGGACTATTGAAAAATAGTTTTAATTTTGTGACTGTATTTTTTATTTGATTTGAATTCCCGTATATGTATACCCGCCATATGTCGAAAACGAAAAGGTTTTTTGAATTTATTGAATGAAAAAAGTTTTGGTTAACATTATAATTTATTTTAGTTTTGCCAATTTTATTTCTTTCATTCCATTATTAAATAAAAACGTTTTCTCGTGATACGTAATAGCTATATTGAAAATGAAACGATTTTCTTTATTTTTCATTGAACGTAGAAAGACAAATTATTTTCTTGTCTTCTTGAAAGTTTTTTGCTGATTTTATTAAATCATAATCATCCACCTTTCTGGCTTTTGTGGCATAGGAATTTCTTTTCCCTTTTTAATTTCGTATTTAGTATAGAAATTGGTAATTTTAGTCTATACAGTTGGCGATTTCCACTGCCTTATTGCAGTTACAAAGCAGCATCGGCACACCCTAGCAGTCTGAATCTGCCCCAGCCTATAAAACTGTCTACTACCCCCATGTAAGAGTTCCTCAATGTGGTGCTAAAATTTTTTGCCTGCTTACATTTTAGAGCTAGATCTATTATATCATAATAGTCGTGATAGCGTTCTTACTTTTTCTGCTTTATTTTATTATTTTTTTTATTTTAAAAGGGTAATTATTTTTTAAATATAAAAATTAAGCAAGCTACAAAATATCGTATATTCCTTTATCGTTATAAATCAATTGTTTTTGTATAATACAATTATATAATGCAAAGGACTATTTTCTTTTGATTACTAGTGCCATTAAAATATAGGGTGTTCAAAGAAAACTGTCCATAATTACATAATGAAATCGTTAACAAATAATGTATACTTTTTTGGTTTGCACTTTTTCCAACTTTTTTTATTTATTGTGTATGATAATATACTTTGCATGACGGAAAGCACAATTAACTGAAGTATTTAGATTAAATATTCTTTTTTGTGTTGGTTACGCGATTAAAACGTCTTTTAATTTCGTTTTTGAGCATGCTGGATGTGCAAGATAATATGTTAAGAACAGAATATCTAAGTTAATTATATTTTAAGTTGTTTTAAATCTACTAATTGGCGTAGGTAGTTAGAGGATAAAACTGCATTTTTACAGTGTAAAGTCCACATTTATTTTTTCTCTTAGGGACGAAAAAGAGCCCCTCAAACCAGACAGAGGGAATCAACCTGAATTTATAAGTCCTGACAAAAGAAATATCTCGGTTGAGTTCGACGGACATAGGGTATATTCCAGGCCCGGAGATATAATTATTGGTAAGAATTCAGCTGTATAAACGATTTTTTGTTTTTTGTTACCTCATTTTCGTGAAGACAATGTACTTATAATAATAATGCTATTGCATTCGTCTGATGATGTGCCAAAAATGTTTTAAATGTTTCCATGAAGTTATTTTATTTCTTTTGGAAATATTCAGGCAAATTTCGTTCCTTTTTTTTAATGATTATAAAAAAATAGGTATCCAGAGATTTAAAATTTATTTTTTCTTCTTACTTTATCGGTTTCTAAAACATCTTCCAGTCGTAACTTAGAAAGTATTATAAAAAGTATTTTTAAAGTATGCAGTGTAAAGGTGTAAATAAATAAATTATGCTTATGCCTGAATTGATAGAATATTATAATCGATAATTTGATTGATTGTAAACTTTTTTGTTATTATAAAGCTATTTACAAAAATAAAAATTTGCTAGCAAAGTTTACCCTGTACTTTTAAAATTATAATATACGAATTGTAGGTAAATATTTACTTACTTTGAAAAATTAAAAATGGTTTGTATGAAATAAATATTATTTCTTTATGTTAAATATCAGATATTTTAATTGAAAGTTACTTTGCTAGCATCTTTTTATTTAATCGTATTAAAAAAAAAAGATTACCTGCGTATAGCTTTTTGTGAGTGTGATTTAAAAAAATATTATATGCTTAAAACAATGCAAGGTCGCCGTTTTGTTACATAAAGGCTTTGATTGTGAAATTTAAATCAAACCGTTCCAAACACCAAAAAAAGAAATAAAAGTAGTTTTCATAAGATAATTATTTTTCAAAATTGAATAAACTTTTGGCAAAAATCCCTATTTNGCCACGTATAGCGGAGTTTAACTGTTTTTATATTTTTTTATATTAATAGAATAAATAATTTGGGTAATCGTCTAGTTTAGAGAACCGTCATTCGGAAGAGTGGGGCGATGGTTATTTGCCTTGAAAAACTCTAAGCAAGGTTTGGGTTAGGTTACGTTAGTTTCTCATTTAAATTTTCGATTTTATCTTGATCTCTTGGGCCTCCACCACACCGCTCCATCTAAAAGCACTTAGTCATCCCTATGTCTGCATCCATTTTTTCTACAAGGTCACCCCCCCCCCCCAATCGCCTAGACTGTTTTCTATGACCGGCTTTCCGATAAACTAGACAATTACCAAATTCTGTACTTACTTTTTGGTATCATGAATCAATCATTATTTATCAAGGAAAAGAACTTCATTAGTTTCATTATCATTTTGTTTTATTAAAATATGTTATGAAGTTGACTAAACTAGTCACTTCGTTTTTAATTAAAACTCTATCAAACGAAATCTTTGTTTGCTTTTCAAATGAATTTGGAAACGCAAAAAGGGTACATTATAAAGACTGAGACATTTTTTTAGACAATGAATTATTACGTTTTAGTTTATAGACATTAATGTGTAGAATTTACTGCAGTCCACGACATAAAATCGTTTTCTATTAATTAGATTTACTATATATTTCTTAATTACGTAGTTATTAGTGTTATAAGTGTGTTTAAGAAAGTGTTGTTAATTTTTTGGTTGACGTTTTTTTCATTTTTTTCTCTCATACTGTTTGTACTATTGTACTTAACGTTAGTTTTTTTTTGTAACATATAATAAAAATTATAGATAATATTACGTTCAGTGTGTAATAAAAAATGCCAAAGGTAAACTACATTAATGATGATACAATTACGATATTATTGTAGCTTTTGATATGAATAATAATAAAATAAAACACCGTTCGAAAATATTGTTAACATTTTTTTACTAGCTACCTGCTTATAAAAATACTTCACTTACACATTATATAACATTATAATAAAATTTGATAATTTACATAAGTAACAATATTTCATTAATTTATTAATCTACAGATAGGGTCACGTTGAACTCAGGGGATGCCAACCATCGCGCTACGACGTTTTCTTTTAACAGTATTTTATACTTGTTTTTAGGTTTTCTCTTCATAAAAAGGAACTGCAAAAATTTTTTGAACCACTTTCTATCAGCTATTTGTGCCTAGAATATGGGAAAACATTTTTATATAGGTACACAAATTGACCCCAGAAATATCTAGAGAACATTACCTCGATGAATAGTGCTAGCAATAAATGAAGAAGAGGCAGCAATAACAACGTATCCCTAAACAACCTCTGTTCCCTGGGGTGATTGTGTGGCAGGTACATCACCTCGAAAAACTTAGCAAGTCCTTCTGGAGCTTTCAAATAGAGCCACGTCAAAAAAGACGTGAGACTGATGGCAGAAAGTAAGAACCAAAAGTTTGTAATTAACGTTTTCCTAAACGGTTTCCCCTTTGCATATACAAAAGCCATTATTATGTATTGGTAAGAGGACACCATGAAAATTACAGTGTTTTCCCAACATAAAATGACCTCTTCCTTCCCAGGAGGTAATGGCACAAACCAGGACTGAGTGGATAAGTAATAATAGGAGCAAAATTGAACAGCAATGCATAAAAGGACCTGAGTTATGAGAGGAATTAAGTTTCTAGCACATACCAAGGATCCCATGGGTCGTTCAGATTGCAGTTTATTGGCAGGTCCTACAACACATTTGCCACAGTGAGTTTTTTTATTTAAATTCCCTTTTTTTCATTTTGAAAAACAAATTTTAACAGAAAAACTTTCAATATCTAAATTAAGGAGAAGCTCCTGAACCTAAGCAAAAATAGTTTCAATTCAAAATAATAAACTGAAAAATATTTTATCTTAAATTTTAATGAAATGAGAACGAAAAATGTAATCCAAAATTGTGTAATTTATATTATTACAGAGGTATTATTGATACCACTTCGGGTCCCTACTAATAATAATTACCTTGGTGACCTATCGTTACCGCCAAACTAGTCGTGATGATGAGATCAATAAATAAAAGTTGTATGTTTCCCAGCATCGAATGAAACTGTAAAATATCTTTTTTCTTTATTTCATAATTAAATTAACCAAATCACTTTGGAATAAAATAAAAAAATTAAAAAACTTACTGTATAGAGAATAAGAACTGAGCAAAATTGAATTAAACTATAAAGGGCCATATATTTAAAAAGTGCAAAGCTGGTAACTAAAGAGCATCGACCTTCTAGAATGAGATGAACAATACAAGAAATATTTGGTATTGACGAGGTGAATGGCGCAGCTACGCTTGCTTCAGCCTGTGATAATGAAACTCCAACATGGGCTGCTTTTAACGCCTAAAATTGTTTTTATATAAAAAGTACTCCTTGAAAGGGAAATACTGAACCCATCCAATATAAAATTTAAAATAATAAGTCCATGTTGTAGTATATTAGATTATAGCAACTATTGTGATCCAACGGACAAACAACGACTTACTCCACAGTCATTAGCGCCATCCCCAACCATTGAAACGATGTAACCGATTTTTTGGAAATAATTAATCAGTTGGGTCTTTTGATCAGGCTGGAACCTTGCGAATATTGTGCTCTTTACTAAAATATGGGGAAGATAATCTGCATAATATTCCCTGAGTTTGTCCCAAGTCTTTCCATCCATTGCTAAATGATACTTAACAAAAGAAAAGTATGTTATTTGTTCCATAATTTTTTCTTTTACTATCATACTTTTTTGTCATAAAAGTTTATGTCCGGATCATCATCCACAACTTCGAATATCATCTTAGGTATTCCCAAGTCATTGTCTAATTCCATATTTACCAAAACAATTGGTTCGTCTGCTTTTATCATGTTACATTCTCTAGCTACGCAAATAGCAGTCATAATATTATCACCTAAAAACAGCAATAACCATTTTAATCGTTTATGAACAGGTGACTTAGGTTTTCTTATACAAATTACTAGCCTGTTATCATCACAGTTGGGATGCTGGCATCGTGTAATGTACGAATTACGGGAATAGTTTCGGGTTTTAGTGAATTTTGCATGATCATAAATCCCAAAAAAGTCATATCACATTCAAGCTAAAAGAATTACACTTACAAATAAATTAAAGTGGGAAGGTGTCAATAAATAAAATTTACCACTTCTCTCTTAGTTTTTTGAGCTTCCTTCCACTTGAATTTGGAAGAAAGTTTCTTACAAGAAAACGCAATCACTCGGAAACCTTGCGACGTGTAAGTTGAAAGGCACAAATGGAAGTCTTGGGGCAATGACTCTTCCCTACAAAATGATTTGATTCTTTCGGGGGCTCCTTTTGTAAATGCTATCATACATGGGTCGTTTAATTCTCTACAAATCACCGTCATGCACTGTTGAACTGAAGAGAATGGAAATTCACGGATTATTCCTATACAATATGGAATCTGTAAAATAGTACAAGTATATTAGTCATTACGCAGATTTGTAGTTTATTGTCTATCAAATATGTACATACATTATCTTCCCCTATTTCGAAGTTGCTGGCATTATTTTGATTCGGTTTTACTATTACTGGAGCAAGCATGTCATATCGTGTGCTCTCTTTTTCACCAGGCTCTTCAATTTCCTAAACAAACAATATTATTACTATGAATCTTAGTTGGACAAAAAAAAATGTTACCCATTTCGTGCTCTCGAACATGGTAATATCGAGAGAATCTCCTTTTAATTGGCCCATTATTCTGGTCAACGAATGACATGTTGCCATTGCTTTGACTAAACTACTCGTAGAGTCTATTTTGAAAGCGTGCGTTTCTGGGTTCGAAAATTTCCCATCAACACTCGGTATTATTGAGTTCAGTTGTACACCATCCTCCGTTAATGTACCAGTCTAAAATTAATAAAATAATGCATCAAATGCTTTGTTAAGTATGTATAACGATAATTAAAAAAAAACCCTATAATTTCCTTAATCCATACAAGTCTTCCCCAATGGTTTTTTAAACTTCTTTTATTGTTAGTAGGAACACAAAATTCGCAAAGTACCTTATCAAAACAAGCCAATTTAATTTTTCCGGCTAAATTAATACGAGGGGGACTTGTACAAAAAATATTTAAGTGTTTCAATCTGCTTTGGCTGTAAGCAATACTGATGGTCATGGCCGCTGGTAAAGCTGGAGGAACCACAATAGTAACTATATCCAAAGTTCGAATTATTATGTATTCTAAATCGGCCTAAAATTTTAAAATCAATAAACCCAGAAAAAACTGACAAATTTATTATGGATTACGTACACCACGTTTATGGTACAAATAAGTGCAATATGCCATTCCTCCTGCTGCTATGATTGATAGGAAGAGTAAAAATTTCGCGCTATCCTTATAAAACTGAATTTTTATTGGCGCGGGAAATAACATGCTTTTGACCAGTTCGCCCTTCATGGTAGTAAAGCCCGTTTTAATGACACGTGCTAAAACAAACTCTCCTTCATAATAACGCGCCTGTAAAATAGAGGTACCACAGAACAAAGTATATCTTTTATGAATACCGGTGTCGTATATCTCCGAACTTGTATGTGGAGCAGTTTTTGTAACTGGAGTACTTTCACCTAAAAATCGAATTCAAAATGTATACATAAAAAATTTGATAGAGATAGGGCTAGGAATTTTTAATTACAATCTACTATTTCCTAAAAGAAGAAAATATTCCTTAGATTTGATGTAATTTCCTTTCATTTGGCTACAGTTCTCTTGTAAATTAAATTAAAGACAACTGTAATAATATTTACCAGTTAACATGCTTTCATTGACGATGCAATTTCCCGTTATAAGAACGGCATCACATGGCATCAAGCATCCTGAACGAGGTATTACTAATAGATCACCAGGTACAATGTCTCTTGATGGTATGTCATGTCCTGTAAATCCCGAAATTATATTTGGACGGAGAACTTTTGCACTGTCTGTTTTTGATGATTTGACTAAATTGTGCAGAGCTTTATCTTGCTAAAACAAACAAGCGATATAGAGTGTTCTATAAAATACATTAGGTACGTACTTTTCGTGTTTGATACAAGGTTGTAACAACAGAAAAAAATGTTAAAATCAGCACACATACAGAGTAGATAACATAATCATCCACACACCAAAGGACAACAGAAAATGCTTGAAATAAATAAAAGGGATTGTATACTTCATTAACAAACACATTCCAATATGTTCTAACTTCTACATCAATATTATTGCTCCCATAAAGATTAAGCCTAAAAGCAAATATTATTAGTAATATATCCTTCATTTCCTGTTCAATATGTGTACAATTCTGTTTTTTCGTTCTCAGTGATCCCTCTTGAATTTTCCAAAATATCGCTTAATGTTAACTTTGGCATTAAATCATCTAAAGGCTTAAAAAGTCCGTCGTTGTCATCCAGTACATATTTATTATGTCGATAAATAAAATACTTTAAATTAGTAAAAGCTCTTTGTTGCAAATGGAGCATGTCTGACTGAACAGCAACTGTTTCATAGTTGTTATTGGCATCTTTAACTAATAAAGAAATGTGAGTTTTATTACTCATCATCATTTTTTGTGAATGACCCATACCTAATACGGTATCAGCAATACTTAGTGTACATTTGGTCAACTTAAAGCTCTTTAATTGGGGATACCATCCAACAAAGGCATAAAATAACCCAAAAGATAATATACCAAATAAATGAAACAGCAGTTGTTTTCCACAACTTCTTTTATGATAGCCATAAATTACACATATGTTATTTTCTTCATTGCTGTGTAGTTGTTGTGATGTTAACCCAATAGGCTCGTATTCTACAAAAATAATATTATACAAAATTATCTGAAAATAAACTCAAACAAAAGGTACCTGACCGAAATCGAAACATTGTCTGGATAGCAATTAAGGGACCTTCCCGCTTATATATTGAACGATATACACCCTAAATCAACTACACTGGTTTGATACCATTTTGGGATTATATTACACATTAATACATTGATTATATAAATATTTTACCATTTTCCTTTGTTATTTGCATTTTACCTTTGTTTATATTTGATTGCATTGTTATGCCATTAAATCTGATATAAAACTGGCAACCCGTTATACAACGCAGTTACAAAGGTTGCAAACGAGACAGACAGATAGTGGTAGTGATATCACATCACAGAATATTTTTGAATTGCAAATGACGATACTTGTTTACGTACATTTGGAATAAAAGTAATGATAAAATTTCTAATTATATTCTTTTAAAATTTAAAGGTAATGATGAAAATCTTTTTAATAAAATGAAAATTTCAAACTGATCTACTATCTATGGAAGATTGTCCGTAACAACCATAGATAATAGAAAGAGTAACAAAGAATATCAGCTGTTGACAATTATGAAATATTCCAGAACTGTCAGTCAACTGTCAGCTGTCAGTATTTATTGCAAAATGGTGGAGTGTACTCCGTGACATATTGTTTCTCGTCACATAATTATTAATATTTCCTTTAGTTTACGTTTATAATTGCAATTATTTGTTTTAAAATGGATTTTGGAACGTTGCTACATACAGCAAAACAAAATGAGCACGAGAAAAAAGAGGTAAAGTCTTATCTAACTAATATTTTCGTTACCTACTTTTTTCATATCCTTAATAATTAATTGAAAATGTCTTTAAATTTGTAGGTCCGATATTACAGCACAAAATTTTCTCCTCCTAAGAAAGAGAAAAAAGAAAATAGAAATCTTTCCGTAAATGTACAAAAATTTTTAGCTAGGAAAGAAGAAGAGGAAAGGCAAAAAGCAGAAGAAGTCAAAAAGAAGAGAGAGGAACTTTTAGCATTACGATCTCAGGTAATTTATTGAATTTTGACTTCTGTAATTAACATATTTGCAGTAAATATATTAAATTGCACAGGATAAGAAAGCAACCAGAAGGGTAAATGTCATGTTAAAACGCACAAAATCTGCAAATCAGTCTGTAATTCAAGATGCTGTAGACAAAGACAATACAGCAGTGACAATAGTAGGTCCTTCACAGCCTGATGAAGATGATTATGGATATGTTTCACAAGAAGCTTCTGCATTTTACAATAAAATGATGGAAAAATATAGTAAAATGCCAGAAGAGCCAAAATTTCCAGTGACCTCCAAAAGAGTTAGCTGTAACCTAAATAGCACAAAAGACCGTGTCAGAGCTGCTCTGGAGAAGGAAAAGGAAGAAGCTATGATGCCACACAGAAGGAAACGGAAACATGGTAATGAAAATGAGAAAAGTGACACCTCTGAAGATCCAGAATCTGAAAGGAAAGAAGGCAGTGGGCAACCAAACAAACCAAAATCAAAGGCAATGCCTCCTCCAATGAATTTCATGGGTAATAAAAAACAATATTTACATGTTTGTGTACAACTCAATTGCAATATTATTTTTAGAAATACTCAAACTAGCTGAACAAAAACAGCATGAGCCAATTGTAATTCAACCAAAACCTAAAGAGGATGAGGGCCCTCTCATGACCAAGAAACAAAAAAGAGAACATGAGAAAGAAAGGCAGCGTTTAGAAGCAAAAGAAGCTCGAATGAAGGCAGAGAAAACACCACCTGTGGATAAAAATCAAAAAGGGAAAGGTATAGATAATGGATTTAAAGTGCCTAAACCATCAGAATCTCATGTAAATGGTTATAAGGCAGAAAAACTTACTTCAAACGGAAACATTTCGGTTTTACCACCCAAAATTTCAAAAATAAATGCACGCAATTCGCTAGAGAAACCCATTCTAAAAAATGACAGGGTACTTGAAAAGAAGCCAGAAAAAAATTCAACAAAATATGTTGACAACAGCAGTTCAAAGGAAAAAAGAAACACACCGTTAAGTAGTACAGATTTAAAAGACAAACAAAAACAGAATATCCTTATAGAAAGACAAAAACTTCTGGATGCCAAGAATAGACAGAAACTGGAAGAGTTAAAGGAGCTTCAAGAATTAGAAGAACTCAGAGAAAAGCAAAGACAGTTGCAAGAATTAGAAAGACAGAAATTGCAAAAACTTCAAAAAATAAAAGAAAAAGAGAAACTTATCCAGAACAGCCAGTCAACTAATAACAAGGTGCCTTCTACTTTAAGCAAGTCTCCATCAAGTGTAAATCACACCAAACAAAACAAAGTTACTGATGTTAGAGACAAGACAATAAGCTCGAAACTTCCAGCAAAAGCAAAAGATCTTCAGCCCAAAAAGTTCCCTCCAAATGACCTGAAACCAAAACAGGTTCCTCTGAGTGATCTCAAACCAAAACAATTTCCACCTCCTGATGTTAAGCAAAGACCTCCACCAATAAAAAAACGTAATATGCATAATTTTTGTTTATTACAATTTCTGTTAAATGTTCCTTTTTCTTTCAGGTCGTATTTTGGATGACGATGAAGAATATGATTCAGAAATGGACGATTTTATTGATGACGGACCAGAAGAAGAGGCAGACTACTCTAAATACATACGAGATATTTTCGGCTATGATAAGAATAAATATAAGAATATAGATGATGAAGATGTAGAGGAGGCATCATTCCATCAGCAATGGAAGGAGGAAATTATTAGTACAAAAATCGGTAATAAAAAAATCGTATAATTACATTCAATTACATTTTTTAGAAGGATACTTATTTATATTAATACAAGCAGATAGTTTTTCAATTATTTAGGTTTTAATAGTCTTTAAATAATTTTTTTTGAAACTAAAGCTGCTTTAATTTTCCTTTTTGTTTAATATGTGCTTCTATTTATTTACTTGCAGTATTTTATTTCCTTAATATTAAAAATATATTGTAGGTATAATGGAGGACTTGGAAGACATGAAGATGGAAGAAGCGGAGAAACGTCGAAAAGCTATGCAGAAGAAAAACCGGAAATTATAACTAAATTATGTAAGTTATAGCAACTATAAATATGTGATAACTATTTCTAACTTAAGTAGTTTTTTTTGTTATTAATTACGCATCTCTATTTATAATTTTGTTTTATATTAATTTTTAAAACTATTGTTACGACGTTATTTATACAAAAAGATGTATATAGTGTTTATATTATTATATAATAGGCAATTTTATTGTAATGCATTTCCGTGGTATACATTGTATTATATAAGTATCGGGAGTAATGTATTTTTAATTAAAAGTAATTTCTTAATTTTATTTCAATTATATACACTATGTATAAGATGTTTTGTTGTTTTTCGTTGCAAATAGTTTTGCAGCTCCTTATTGATATTTCATTAACTAATTATGTTTATTATTTATGACTATTTCTCAGATAAGTGATAAATATTTGAAATACGATACCGCTTACTGAAATCAAAAACGTGATAATTATGCGAAAAAAGGCCCCAAATTTAAATTGATGCGGCGATGACGTCAGAATATATTCAAGAAAAGACTACCCCATCTGATGACAAACATGGTTTTGATGTAAATGAACTAAAAATAACCAATAAAAGTAAAAATGCATACATTATTAATAATTTTTAAGCACTTTTATATTAACAGATTAAAATAATTTGTAATGATTAGCCTATGTACCTTTGATAGTTCAATGATATGAAAGTAGTTCTGTTACTCAGGTAGCACTAGAGTAGTTCCAAAACACATCAATGGCTATAGTGTTTGTTGTCAAATGTTATTGTTTTGATATAACGGTTTAAGTGGTGTTTTCCCTGCACTAGTATTGTATAATAGTATTACTGGACTTTTTTCCAATATTACTTGTTATTAGTTTATTTTATGATGTCGATTAAAGTGATTTCGCCCTATACCATCAAAAAATCTGTGGTAATTCCTGCACCACCTAAACGAGTTTTTAAAGTTATCGTCGTAGGAGACTCAAATGTCGGAAAGACTTCCTTAACGTATAGATTTTGTGAAGGTAAATTTCTCGAAACCTCAGAGGCAACTATTGGCGTAGATTTTCGGGAGAGAATTCTAGTTATTGATGGTGAAGAAATAAAGGTGAGATAAACCAATTATAAAGGAATCATTCTTTATAATTTAGACCTCTAATTGTAGTTGCAGCTATGGGATACTGCAGGGCAAGAGAGGTTTCGAAAGTCAATGATTGCCCACTACTACAGAAATGCACATGCAGTTATTTTTATGTATGATGTAACAAATAGAGCATCGTTTTTATCTATTGAGCATTGGATACAGGAGTGTGATAGCAATTGTTTTACTGATATTCCCAGGATTCTTGTAGGAAATAAATGTGATGGTAACGCAGCAGTAACAACTGATGAAGCCCAAAGATTAGCAGATAAATATAATATGCCAGTAAGTATTGTCAATATTTTAGTTTCTTTTTAAGTTAATATTTATTGCATGATTGTTTTAGTTGTTTGAGACATCTGCAAGACTGGATTCTGAAAATGACAATGTAGAAGCAATATTTTTAACTTTAGCACATAAGTTAAAGAACCAGAAACTGTTTTTACCATTATCATCAGTAACTACTACAAATGTCAGACCTCAACAAGTTCATAATGATAGCTCTTGTTATTGTTAAAGACTGGTATTATTTTATTTTTTGTTTCATCTCTAACTTTTTAATACTCTTAAGGGACTGGAGATACTGTTGTGTCATTTAATTAGTAACAATAACAATTAAAGAACATAAACGTCAATAACTTCACCATAACAATAATGAATGAATAAAAAAGGCTAGCAGCTGTAACAATGGAAGAATAAGAATTGCTGACAATATTAACAATATTTCAACAATGGGGAACTAAAAATGGCTGACAGCAGCAATAATTAAGAAATAAGAATGGCCGACAACAGCAACAATACTGCAACAATGGTGAAATAAAAATGGAAGACTTAATAATCCAAATTGCACGAGTTAACCATTTAGTCTTAAATAAAAGCTTACACTTCTTGAAAAAAGATAGGGTATGTTTTTTGGCACGCCAAAGTTGAAATTATTGTCATCATATTCGTGCAACTCCAGTTTCTCCTTTAGAAATGAAATTATGGAAAAATAGACAATCTAATTTGTCATCATTGACAACTACTTAAATAAGGTACTGATTTTTATTGCATTAAATATAAGTGTAAAAGTAATTGCATGAATAATCTGTAGTATTATTTGGTTTAAGTGAAGTTATCTTTGCATTTTTATCTTATAAATACCTTTATTTTTTTGTCAAAATGTAATAAATAAATGTTATAGTTAGTAACATTGGATTTTATGTGTATTAAGATGTGTATGTATGCAGGACAGAAACAATCTTTCAAAGGAGTAATAGTTCTATTAGCTAAATGGGCTACGGGTGTATTGACATTATATACTGATATTAACCTAACTTTTTAAATTTAGTGTTGACATTTGTGAGATTTTTGTATTTATATTCGTTTGTCAATATCATATGAATAATTGGTGACTAATTTTCAAAAACTAAGTTAAATTGTCAGTGATTTCTTTAGTACTACAGTAATAATTTTTGTGTATATACAACAAATAAACAATGGAGTGGTTATTTGGGAAAAAGGTTACTCCAGAGGAGATGCTTAGAAAGAATCAGAGGGCCTTAAACAAAGCCATGAGAGATCTGGACAGAGAAAAAATGAAGATGGAACAGCAAGAAAAAAAAGTTATTGCAGATATAAAGAAATTAGCAAAAGAGGGACAGATGGTAAGTTTGGGGCCAATAGACTGTTGCAAATGTGCTGCAATTTATATTTTCCTTTAGGATGCTGTAAAAATAATGGCTAAGGATCTAGTTAGAACGAGAAAATATGTTAAGAAATTTATGTTAATGAAAGCAAACATACAGGCAGTGTCCTTAAAAATTCAAACATTACGGTCTCAAAATTCCATGGCCCAAGCAATGAGAGGCGTCACTAGAGCAATGCAGAGTATGAATAGGCAGCTTAATCTTCCTCAGATTCAGAGAATATTGCAAGAATTTGAAAAGCAAAGTGAAATAATGGATATGAAAGAGGAAATGATGAATGATGCTATTGATGATGCAATGGCTGATGATGAAGATGAAGAAGAAAGGTTTGCAATAGGCACCAGTTTTAATTAAATTTTATGATATAAAAAATGCTTTGTTACAGTGATGCTATTGTTTCACAAGTATTAGATGAACTAGGACTGCAATTAAATGACCAATTATCCGGTTTACCTCAAACAGCTGGTTCCTTGCCAGCAAGTGGTCAGAAACAACCGGTTGCTGCTGCAGCTGCAACTGGAGGAGGTGGTGGTAATGGAGCAGTATCTGATGCAGATGCTGATTTACAAGCTAGATTGGACAACCTACGAAGAGAATGATTTTTTCAGGTAAATACTACTTACTATTTAATAATTTGTGCAAACTAGAGCTGTATTAAACAAAGAGCACCTATTAATGAAAGTAACTTAATAAACACTTTAATTTTATAAGAGTACTGTTATCTAAATGTTTATAACGTGTATTGCTTATGTTTTTTGTAATAAATATTTTACTTATTTTTTTGGCCAGACTTTCATGTTTTATCTAATTAGTAAAAGCAAGGGTAACATAAAGTAAAGATGTGATTTTTTACAATATTTTCCTGACATCTTTTTTAGTCTAAAAATCTTTTAAATCTTAATAAAGAAGAAGCATACTCTGGTCAAGATTCAAATTCCCAATTTCCAATAAATTATTTAAAGTTTATCTGATAACCACTTTTTTTCATTGATGGTGCTGTAGTAATTTGAGAAATCGTAATTTAGTTTCATTATCTTTGTACAATTTTAATTTTAACACTGATTGCAATTNTGTATTATGTAACAAATAAGTATCTCTTATGGAGTTGCCTAAAAATAATGAATTCACCTGTTATCTAATGGATGTAAGATGTCCATTATAAAAAATTAAGAAAATATATGGCAAAAATATTTGAATTTTCCTACAATTATGGTCACGGGAACAGATGAGGTCATGTGACGCCACGGTATATTTTGTGGAATGGTACTGCGCCTGTGCAAATGTTAAAATTGTGTCAAACTACAAACAAACGGTACGGTTAAAAATAAAACCTGCACTACGTAATTTGAACAATTTAAACGTTCACTGTAAATTTTCAACTAAATGTTTATATGTAAGTAAAATTAAGGTCCTTATCTTTATTGAAATAAGATAAAATAAATTGAAATACGTATGTGATAGTATCTTGCATTACGTACCCATGTACATTCATCACTTCCTCAATCGAAAAGAACTGTCAAATACTGATAGCATAGGTTAGATTGATAGCAAATTTGATAGTAAATGTTACAAGTTGGTGAATCATTTGATGAATTATTGTAGGTGTTTTGCGTTTTATTTATTGTTGTAATTATTTTTATGTAAAAAATTAACTTATTTATCGCTCATAATATATATATCTCTTTTTCCATAAACTGTGAGGTCGACAACAAGTGGGACTGTTATTTCTACTGAAATGGTGTTGGGTTTGTAAAGTATTTTATAATTCAAATTCAGGTAAGATTTTAAATTTATCTTGGAATTAATTGTATTTTGAGTTCGCATTATTCTTATTATTATTCATACAAGGTAAATTGTACCTAATTAAAATATGTTGTAGTTCTAAAGCTAAAATGTATTTTTACTTTTCTACAGTTTCTCGGGAGAATGTCAGTTTATTAAAGTAATTCAAACTAATAATGGAGTATACTAGTAATGTAACCAGTCCTCTCAATGTGAAAGAAAGACTAAGCAGAAAATGTTGAACATTATATGCCTTTTTCTATTAGAAACTGAGGCAACAACAATTTGATGCCAAACATTAAAGGAAAAATCTATGACAATGAGTTGGTAACTTTATTCAGACACCAGGAGGTGACAACATAGACGATAGTAAGAGTAATTTTTAGAAATATCTGGGCTTTAAGGTTAAGCAGTAGTGAACAAATAATTAGTAGATTAGAAGTAGAAAGTAATTTTAGTTATGTTTTTGTTAAATAAAAAGTAGTTGAAACATGTATCGAAGTGAAATTCAAAGTAATGGTTCTATGGAATGATTTGTTATAAACAAATTGCAAATTTTTATTCAATATCAAACCTGCTTTTATGTGTACTGATTTATTAACATTGATTAAATTGGAACTTACATAAAGTCCTGTACAAATACAAATGTACAATAATTGTAATTAAAACAAAACATTTTAAAATTATAAAGGCAAGCTGGTCAACAACATACAACATAATACATATATTTTACTTAAGACTTAAGAGTTCATAGCTACGATATTACTTCACTGGGTGTTTCAATTCCACTTCTTTTTAGCATTTCCCTTAAAGCTCTATTTTCCCTCACAAGTGCTTCATTCTTTTTGCTAATTATTTCCAGACTTTGGTGTAACTGTAAATTTTCTTTAATGCATAATTCTGTCTTCTCATTTTGTTTCTTAAGCTCCAAAATATATTCACAAGCCTTTGCTAATATGCCCCCTTTTGACTGTCCATCATAGTGACCATTTCCTTTTAACTCTGTGGAGCTTTCAGGGATAATTTTTGATAATTTTGTAATCCAATTATTAATTTTATCCCTTCTTCTCCTTTCAACTTCATTGTGAGTTGCTCTGCGCCTTTCATCCCTCTGCAACCACAAATTTCACACTAACATACCTTTTATTAATGAACCATTCATTTTTATGATGGAAGTATTCTAGCTCCCAATAAATATAAAATAAATATTTGTACCTTTTTCATGGTTGCAGCAACTGCTGGGCCTGAGTCAATTATATTTGCTCTGGGTGCAATGGCCCTTGTACTACTTTGGTTACTAAAAACATCATTCGGACTACCTATCACATATAACTGTCCATTTAGGTTGCTAGTTAGTACTTGCTGCACACCTGGATTCGTAAAATTTGTACTAGAAGACACTATCTGGGACATATTTTCTGTACCTTCATCAACTTGTAGCACTCTGTATGTAATTGTACCTGAAATTTACAAAAAAATGAGTACCTTTGAGAAAGTTGAAAAGACAGTTGACTTTTATTCAGTTGTTTTAAGAGTCGTTAATTCATAAACAAAAATTTCTAACCCTCTGAAGAACGAAACGAATACTGAACGTCATTATTGTCAGAAGGGGTCTCCAATAAAGTTTGTGGTGACAAATGTTCCACAACTCGATCTTCATCGCTTCCAATGCTGTGCTCATCGACGATATTTAAATCTTGATGCAAAATTACCTTAGTTTCAGTTTCGTCCACTTCACTACTACAAGCAAAATATAAACAAAATAATTGTCGTTGATAATTGCGACCAAAGTACAAATGACCTTGTTGAAACTAACGTGTATTATGTAACAAATAAGTATCTCTTATGGAGTTGCCTAAAAATAATGAATTCACCTGTTATCTAATGGATGTAAGATGTCCATTATAAAAAATTAAGAAAATATATGGCAAAAATATTTGAATTTTCCTACAATTATGGTCACGGGAACAGATGAGGTCATGTGACGCCACGGTATATTTTGTGGAATGGTACTGCGCCTGTGCAAATGTTAAAATTGTGTCAAACTACAAACAAACGGTACGGTTAAAAATAAAACCTGCACTACGTAATTTGAACAATTTAAACGTTCACTGTAAATTTTCAACTAAATGTTTATATGTAAGTAAAATTAAGGTCCTTATCTTTATTGAAATAAGATAAAATAAATTGAAATACGTATGTGATAGTATCTTGCATTACGTACCCATGTACATTCATCACTTCCTCAATCGAAAAGAACTGTCAAATACTGATAGCATAGGTTAGATTGATAGCAAATTTGATAGTAAATGTTACAAGTTGGTGAATCATTTGATGAATTATTGTAGGTGTTTTGCGTTTTATTTATTGTTGTAATTATTTTTATGTAAAAAATTAACTTATTTATCGCTCATAATATATATATCTCTTTTTCCATAAACTGTGAGGTCGACAACAAGTGGGACTGTTATTTCTACTGAAATGGTGTTGGGTTTGTAAAGTATTTTATAATTCAAATTCAGGTAAGATTTTAAATTTATCTTGGAATTAATTGTATTTTGAGTTCGCATTATTCTTATTATTATTCATACAAGGTAAATTGTACCTAATTAAAATATGTTGTAGTTCTAAAGCTAAAATGTATTTTTACTTTTCTACAGTTTCTCGGGAGAATGTCAGTTTATTAAAGTAATTCAAACTAATAATGGAGTATACTAGTAATGTAACCAGTCCTCTCAATGTGAAAGAAAGACTAAGCAGAAAATGTTGAACATTATATGCCTTTTTCTATTAGAAACTGAGGCAACAACAATTTGATGCCAAACATTAAAGGAAAAATCTATGACAATGAGTTGGTAACTTTATTCAGACACCAGGAGGTGACAACATAGACGATAGTAAGAGTAATTTTTAGAAATATCTGGGCTTTAAGGTTAAGCAGTAGTGAACAAATAATTAGTAGATTAGAAGTAGAAAGTAATTTTAGTTATGTTTTTGTTAAATAAAAAGTAGTTGAAACATGTATCGAAGTGAAATTCAAAGTAATGGTTCTATGGAATGATTTGTTATAAACAAATTGCAAATTTTTATTCAATATCAAACCTGCTTTTATGTGTACTGATTTATTAACATTGATTAAATTGGAACTTATTTAAAAAAAGACATAAAACTTTTTATAAAGTTATGCTTATTATTATGATACCTTTAACATTATGTTATTACATTGCAGAAGCTTTGGACATCATGTGCGGTTGGGCTTTGATTGTAGCAGCCCTCATTTCACTCTAGAATGAGGTCCCTGATTTTTTTGTTCAAAGAACAGAAATACAATAAAAGTGAGTAACAAACTTTTAATAATTAACATATTAGGAAGAAAAATGTGTAATTGAATCATTTCTTTCAATCAATGTGCAATCATTTTTAGTTTAGTGTTAGTATAGTTTTTATTTAGTCTTAATTTTTGTTTGTATTGGTTATAGTTTTTCGCAAAACTATTTACAGACGTCTTGTATGTCTCTGTAGGAGGCAAAGTTTGTAAAGTTAAGCTTATTATTATGTTACCTTTAACATTTTGTTATTACATTGCTGTTTGCTATCTAGATTAAATTAATTATAATTAAAAATTATTCAACTTGGCTAATGTACTTAATATTCCAACAGGAACATTGCAGAAGCTCTGGACATCATGTGCCTTTGGGATTTGATTGTAGCAGCCCTCTTTTCACTTTAGAATGAGGTCCATGATTTTTTTCATTGTAATTAATTAAGGTGAGAATACATAACATAATTAACATTCTTAAGACTTAAGAGTTCATAGCTACGATATTACTTCA